TAGGAACTGTTGTTCTTAAGTAAAAAGAAAGGTAGAAGAATAGGACCAACTTCTAATGATAGCCTGCAATCAATTGCACTAAGTGGCAGTTTCCTCATCATTCAATATTCCAATTCCCTTTCAACAACAGGGGTTAGTTCTATGTAATCAAAATGAGGCAAACCTGTCTCATTTTAACTGTAAGTCTTTGCTAAGAAATAAGGAGTTAAACCAAAGTGACATGTAAGTGGGATGAGGGGATGGTGTCATTCCAGATCCAGAGTGAAGCCAGGCACTGCCGCTAGATTAATTTGCAGAGCAGCCTCCCAGGCTGACAACACAGCAGAATCATCAGAAGCAGCTGAGTGGAGTCATTGATTAAGACTCTACTACCTGTAGAGATCGCTTAGTTACAATGAACTAATTTCCTTCAACCGCTATGACTACGCACTTGAAATTAAAAGGAATTTATGCATCCCAAATAAATCAGACTTAGAAGATTCTTGTATGTGAAGGTAGGGGATGAGTTGAAAAAGGAAAACTGTTCACATTTTCCTTGTGATCATGTAGATGTGTATTAACATGATTTAAACATCAGCTGCATAATTATTTTATTGGAAAAATTCATACATATCAAAAGTACATTTATTATAAATATATAATCTAAAGTATAAAAGTGTATTTGCACTTACCTCACAGCCAAACAGGCACTACCAATAATTATTAAATCTCTTACGTCCCGCTCCCATTTCCATTCCCCTTTTCCTTTTCTAAGATATAAAGATTATTAACTAATTAATTTATTTATTTATACTGTTTTTACTGCCAAAACCTGAATGGACTGTGCTATGAGCAAGGAATAAGCCTTTGTGTTAAGTCTCTGATGTCTGGAGTTGTTTTTATAGACTTACTATGGAGATTGGTAACTTGAGCTTAGGTTAGCAAAACACCAAAACGAGTGATGATGCATTAACTTAACAGATCCATAATGGGAGGCAGGGAAGTAAATATGAAGGTAGAGATCCCTGGTATGCCAACGCAGACCAAGTGCTTATCAACATCAAGGAAAAGATGTTGTGAAAAACTCAATAAAAATAATATAGGGCCTCCCCGGTGGCGCAGCGGTTGAGCGCTGGGTTGCGAGGCTGCCCGCTGCCTCTGCGGCGCCGGTTCGATTCCCGGCTGCTCCCCGGCCACCGGAGGAGGGTCCCACATGGCTTGCAGACCTCTCCTGCCGCCCGCTGCTCCCCTCAGCAGTGTACTTCGGTCCTTCTGCCTGCTCTGCTCCCCGCTCTGGCTCTGGTGAATTCTCTCACCCTCCCGCGCTTCTGACTGTACCCAGTGCATGAACAAACGAACAAATAAATAAATAAATAAATAAATAAATAAATAAATAAATAAACCATGAAAAAAAACAAAAACAAAAAAAAATAATAAAAATAATATATACTGGGGAGAGGAGGCCCAATGGACTTTGGTGGAGTATTAGTGGTGCTTTGGTGGTGGCTAGAGAGGTAACACTCATCTAAAAAGGGGTCACTCTCTATTCCTAAATCATACATAGTGTTGTAAACCTCAATAAAAAGTAATTTTGGGCCTCCCCTGGTGGCGTAGGCAGTTGAGTGCAGCGCTGTGAAGCTGTCCTCAGCCTCTGCAGCGCTCGTTCAATCCTGGTCAGCCGGTGAGGGTCCCACATGGCGGGGAAGACCTCTCCTGTCGCGCCCACTGCTCTCCTCAGCAGAGTATTTTGTCAGTCTACCTGTTCTGTTCCCCACTCTGTCTCTGGTGAATCCTCTCACCTTCCTGCACATCTGGCCTTGTACCCTGGTTCTTGTATAAATAGATAAATAAATCTTTAAAAAAAAGTAATTTTAAAATAATAATAATAATAATAATAATGTGTGTTGGATGTTACTGGTTGTCTTAGATGAGCATGGGATATAATTAGTCATGGAGAAATAAGAGAGAATAAAGAGAGACTAAGAGAGAATCTAGAAATTTGGGGTAAGAGATAAAATTGAGAAGGTTTTGAACAGATTCAGCCTAGTGGCAAAGACCAAATTATATTAATTAACATCACAGGGCCTCCCCAGTGGCACAGCGGTTGAGCGCTGGGTTGCGATGCTGCCCACAGCCTCTGCAGCGCCAGTTCGATCCCCGGTCGCTGGGCAAGGGTCCCACATGGCGGCAGACCTCTCCTGCCGCCCGCTGCTCCCCTCAGCAGTGTACTTCGTCACTCTGCCTGTTCTACTCTCCGCTCTGGCTCTGGTAAATTCTCTCACCCTCTCGCACTTCTGACTGTACCCAGTGCTTGTATAAATAAATTAATTAAGTAAAAAAAAAGAATTAACATCACAACCTACCCTGTTATTTCAAATAGCATTAGGTAGAGAGAGATATAAAGAAACAAACATCTTTGAAATAAATTTAGTATACATGTAATTAACTACTATTTTGATGAAATTGCTATCCCAGAAGCCATAAATTTAGGCTAAAATGGTTTGAACTGTGAAGCCACCTTTGGCCATTCAAGTTTGTTCAAATAGAAAATAAGCTCTAGAAGTTGTGCATCCTCACTGGGAGGCCTAATGGCCAATGCTCACTTCAAATATGGATAAGAAGATTGAAATAGAAGAAACTCCTATGGAGTAGAACCAGAGACTACTGAATAAACTGGACAAGAATATTTCTCCAAGGAAGAAGAATCAAAGCCTAATGAAGGAACTTACTCCACCCCAGGGACCATAGATTTCTCCAAGTCTGCTCAGTGATATTCCACAAATGCTATGGGTCAGTAAGACTGCATTTTCTTAGTAAAAATGATTATAGGTATCCTTCCCCTGCTCAGACAATGATTGGTACATGCCATAGCTGTTTGGGCCCAGCTTGTTTTTTTTACTATAAGATTGTATAGCATTTGTACCATTAGTGGTGGTTTAAAAGAGCAGTATCCTAAAAATACATTGACAGAAAAGCAAGAGATTCTGTTAAAGAAAAAATTACTCAAGAAGTGTTCAGCAGATTGAAGAATGTACTAGATAGAATCAATTTAAATGTATCAATTGATATTCTAGAATCTGATTGGATGTAGGCAGGCCAGAGGGCATCACTATCAATGAATAGCTATATTTGATTCCATATATATTCAAAGAAAGATTACTGAAAAAATATCCAAACGCCTGTAAAATTTATTAAATATGTTTGATATTATATCAGTGAGCATATCCTAACTGCTTCAACAAGTAAAACCCAAACTCAGTAGCTTAATACTCACAAAAGGATTTATTTCTCACACACACACCACAGTCAAATGAGGGTTGGCAAGGTGAAAGAAATGGATGTACTGTGTGCAATGGTTCTGGAACCAAATTTTCTTCTATCTCACAGCCTTACCATTCTCTGGTGCCCTGGAGTTTACTTCTAAGTTTTTTTTTTTTTTTTTTTTTTTTTTATAGAGGCATGCTTTATTTATTTGTTTGCTGGTTTCTTTGTTTGTTTTGTTTATACATGCACTGGGTACAGTCAGAAGCGCGGGAGGGCGAGAGAATTCACCAGAGCCAGAGCGGGGAGCAGAGCAGGCAGAAGGACCGAAGCACACTGCTGAGGGGAGCAGCGGGCGGCAGGAGAGGTCTGCGCGCCATGTGGGACCCTCCTCCGGTGGCCGGGGAGCAGCCGGGGATCGAACCGGCGCCGCAGAGGCCGCGCGCAGCTTCGCAACCCAGCGCTCAACCGCTGCGCCACCGGGGAGGCCCTACTTCTAAGTTTTCAATATCCAACCCTCAAACAAAATTTTAAAAGAGCACAACCAAGAAGAGGGTTTTGTGGGCCAGTCACAGAAAGGAAACATATCACTTATGCTAGATTATATTAGCCTGAAGCCAGTCATAGGACCACACCTAGCTATACACTGGGCTCCACGTTTGTATCTCTGAACACAGTAGCATATACACACCACACACAACTAAACAGAGTGCCTCACACAGTTATCACTAAATAAAGTAGTGTGTATTCCCCACACTGGTAAAAAAAGTATTTCACACATGCGAAATATAACCTAGTTCTGTGTTCCATATAAGCGAAACAGTTCGGTAAACACAAAATCATCTTTGTCACAGTCCACCAGTTTAATTACCAAATAACCTTTATCTCCTTTATTCCTAAACACAACTGCATATCAAGGAAGAAAAGATAAAGCCTGGTCCAGTCATTTTAGTGCAAATTTCAGTGATTAAGGGGAGAAAAAAGTATTTACATGATAATGTAAAATAAATGGTATAGATTCAAAGCCAAATGGGTCTTTATATTGGATTTAAAAGCATTTTCTAAAATAGATGACTGGATCAAGAAGATGTGGTACATATACATAATGGAATATTACTCAGCAATCAAAAAATAAATTCATGCAATTTGCAGCAACATGGATGGAGCTGGAAGGGATCATGCTCAGTGAAATAAGCCAGAAAGAAAAAAAAAAAAAAATACCACATGGTCTCACTCATAGCAGGAATTTAGAAAACCTAAATAAGGGACCAGGAAAAAGACTAATTAATACAAAGTAAAAATCAAAATCAATAAGCAACTATAAACCAGAGACACACTACAGGGGGAGTGGGGGGCAGGGAGAGGAAGGATTAGGGTCAAAATAAGGGGGGTTGCAATTGTATGGGGAATATAACCAAAATGAAAATGCATACATTGTGCAAAAATGAAAAATGATGTAAGAATTACATAAAATAAACTATTTTAAAAAAGAAATGCATTTGGTATTCATTGCTGGTGATATTGAATATAATTTAGGTTTTAGTGCCAGATATAAGGTGAAAATGTTATAGAGCAATCCCGATATTAAACGGGTTCCTGGCTGTGGGTCCTCACCCGCGCGCTTTAAAGGGACTTATGAATACTCTACTACAGACACACACAAAAGGGTTAATAAAAGGTTTATTTACAAGAGAAAAAGAAATAAGGAAAATGTACAACTCAGGGAGAAAATAGGGAAATAAAGTCTTTAATGCGTCCTACCCGATCCGACGACCTGGAAACCCAAAGTCACTCTCAGAGCTGGCCGGACACTGCTAGCTGGCGGAGAGCCAAAATGGGGGATCCCCAAAGCCCACGTGTCTGCCTTTTGTATCCACCTGGCTGCTTAACCCCACCCTCGTGTCCCAGCCACCTTCCCTTTGGTGGTGATGGGATTTGGAGTTCCCAGTGTCTTTGGCTTTGACCTGGGGTGGGGGTGGAGTCCACAAAGCCTGTATGGAATTTGTTTTGGGACATCCTTTTCCCCCTAACAATTCCCCCCTTTCACTTTTTGCCACCATTTCCATGGTGATGAAGATCGAATATATGGAGGTTGGGATGCAGTTTTAGATGAACATTTTTTTTAGGTTTTAGTGTGAAAGAAAACCAGTTTCTCCAGGTATTTGTCCATTGTGGAAAGCAAAAGTCCTTTACTCCAGGAAAAAAGTTCATTAGTTTAAGCCAAAAAAAAAAAAAAAAAAAAAATTTGGAGGCATTAGCCAAAACAAGACAGCAGATATGTAAAAATTACAGGAAAAAAAAATTTTAAAATGGTTCAACTGATGTAAAAAAACACAAATTTTCTCAACCTTGATCCCAAACTTTTAACAGCAAAGCAAAAGTTTGCAAACTAAATTTACTTTTAAACCATTTTTTCTATTTTTGCATAAAATTACAGGGCAGAAATAACTAACAGCAATTTTTAGCTGGCTTTGTTGAAATATTCCATACAGGATTAGAGCGAACCGGTGGCATCCAGTCGATGTATGCTTCAGGTATAAAGTTGGTCTCATCAGACTCCACCTGGGCTTTCCTCTTTTCGAGGGTACCAGGGCATTTTCGTTGGCCGGGTTGTCCAGTTCTGCCAATGGAGGCAAGCTTCCTCACCTTCTTTGGAGGTCTCTGGAACCCTACAAACAAGGCAAACAGGTTCTCCTCTTCTTGGTTCAGCTCTTTTTTAACTTTTTGGAAGAACTCCACACAAAGCCACACAATCAAACTCACGTCCAATTTTTTTGTTAAAACAGACAAAATCCCTATGGAAGTTATGCAAAAACAGACTCTGAAATAAGTAGCAAAAATTACTACCACTATTTGTATGCTGTGTTGGTATCAAGGGGAGAGAAAATGTGACAAGTTAGCTTTGCTGGAAAAAAAATTGCAACCTTTTTGCAGATCCTGGTTACTCAAAACAAAACAAAACAAAACAAAAACTTCGTGGATTCAGGACAGAATGCATAAAAAAAATTTCCAGTATTATGTCAAAGAAACCTTAGTAAATGTCAGGTGTATTTTCAGGTTTATTCAGTCCTTTGTAGGAAAGTTTTTTACTCTCAACAGTTCCATCAATAGGAATCTGTTGAGACCTTTTTTCCCTATATTTCCGGAAACAATTTCTGTAGGTGTGAAACAATTGAATTATACAATATTACAAGGTGACAATCACCATTGACAATTTACATACATACCAGATACTACTGTTAACATTTTGTACATACCAAAGTTTTACCATTTTTCCAAGTGACAATGCTTCCCTTCCAGTTTTACTTCATTAGGTAAAAGCCAAATAGAACAAATTTATGTAATGCCTTTTCAGGAGGAAAAGGAGAAACTTCGTGGAGTGTCTCAGGAGCTCTACTGAGGTTCCACAAAATTTCCTTGCATCAGTCAAATGACAGGCTACCAAATTTGTACTTGAATTTAGATTTTTGGGAAGTTTTGCCATAAATATCAGAAAATTAACAGAAACAACAATATTCAATCTCTATGAAGGCACCGGCTTAGTTCAGTAGCACAATGTTGACAATCAAACCATAACTTTTTGTTTTTCTCATAACTGGAGACTCTTTTTTTTTTTTCCAACATCTATGGGCACCATGTATACCAATTTGTCGATCACTGGAGGTCAAGACGGTTAGACACAAGGACATACAGACGAAAAGGATGTCCCAAAACAAAAATACCATTAAATGAAAACTATACTTACTACTAAGTGATTTCTGGAAATTTAAAATCCAATAATTTCACTAAGTTGAGCAAGCAAATCCTATGTATGTTCCAAATCTAGGGAACAGTTACATTCGAAACATGAATAGAAAAGCTCAGTATTTTATGTCTTAAAAGAAGACTTCTCCTACCCTCATTCTACCCCCACTTCTGGACTCTGAGTATTGTGGACACTTGAAATTTTTGGTCAAAAAACAAGGTAACCACTATTAATTAATAAGCATCATAAAATGAGTTGGTACCGTGTGCTAAGTGGCAAGTCCTAATAGCTGGATATTCAGGTATTGTTTTCTAGAATAATAACAAATCTTAGAAGGTATATAGTTTGCCTCAATTATTTTGCAAATGTGAAAAATAAAGATGAGGTGAAAGAACTTAACCAAGATCTCATACATTCATGACAAAGTGGGGATAACAACCAAATGATTCCTGGTTGAAGGCTGTTTCCACAATACCTATTAGGTCTAATCAAAGTATAAATGTATTTGACTTGTATCTGTTTAAACCTTGAGTTTAAAAAAACTAAATAATATAGCCTAAAATAGCAAAAAAGTTTTGATGAAGTCACATTTTTAGTTAATAGTTAACTAAAACCAAAATTATTAGCACGTCGCATCAGAGAAGATCACAGATATATTATTAATTAGCAGCAACTGTAATGATGTTAACTTTTAGGCTTCTAAAGATATTTTTTAAATCATGACTAACATTATTAGATATTTTAGGGTCACTTGAAAAGTTACTTTCATGCAAAGAAACAAACTGCTGAAAGAGGAGCTAAAAAGAAGTTTGATAGTTCTCATCTATTTCATTCCCTGAAAATACATTAAACAGCAACTTCACAAGTTTAATACAGGTGAAAAAATGGAAGAATTAGAAATCTACCCAGTTCTGGAATCATGGGTTGAGTTTTAGAAGTTGGCTTGATCTTGTAACCTTTTTTATTTGTCCATTCATGGTATTCATCATCTTCTGATTAACTGGATTATGTTTTCTCCTGGAAAAAAACAAGTACTAAGCATGATTTTTAAGCCACCATTTTGCACAACAAAAACATGCCACACAGAGAGAATGGTATATTGCACCTAGTTCCCCCTGCCCACAGTCCTTCCTGTGGATTTTCCCCGTGAGTATGCTAGCTTATAGTACAAGCATTGGTAGCCATGTGTTATATCATCTCACCACACCTAGAAGGGCAACCATTTCAAGGGCAGATGATCCAAAGGCTAGGAATCAGCCCATGCAGTGACCTAACATGGGAAGTTCTACCCACAATGAATGAGATGGAGCATCCTGATGCCCCCATAAATTTATATTGAAACCCAGAAAAGAGAAAGTGAGGCGATGAACCAGAACAGAGCCAATAAAGAAATAAGGATACATGAGTAAGCCAAATTTATAAATTAACTAAAATTACAATAAAATTAAAGCTATTATATATCATCGTCTGTAATAAAATGACATATAGAAAATGAAGATGACACAATGACACAGCAAGGTATTGAAGGGCCTAGGCTAGAGGAATTAAGTAATAGAATGAAATAAAAAGGATCCAAATTGGGAAAGAAGTACAAGTATTGCTATTTGTAGATGATGTAATAATATGCATAAGAAAAGCTAAAGACTAATTGAAATGATAAATACAGTTAAATGACACCATAAAAATTCAATTTACAAAAGTCAGTTATGTTACTGTATGCAAACAATGAACTAGAAGAGAAAGAAATCAAGCAAACAATTCCATTTACAATTGCAAAAAAAATAAATTAAATATCTAGGAGCAAATTTAACAAAAGATGTGGAGCACCTAAAGAATTAAAACTAAAAGAAACAGAAGACACACACAAAAAAAGGAAAAATATTTCTTGCTTGTGGATTGGAAAAATCAATATCATTGAAAATAGTTATTTTGGGCGTCCCCAGTGGTGCAGCAGTTGAGTGCTGGGTTGCGAAGGTGCCCATCAGGCTCTGCAGCACCGGTTCGATCCCCCGCTGCTCCCCGGCCACTGGAGGAGGGTTCCACATGGTGCACAGACCTCTCCTGCCACCCACTGCTCCTTAGGTCCTTCTGCCTGTTCTGCTCCCTACTCTGGCTCTGGTAAATTCTCTCACCCTCCCACGCTTCTGACTGTATCCAGTGCTTGTATAAAATAAATAAATAAATCTTTAAAAAAATTTTTTTTAAAAAATTAAAAAAAAAAGAAAATAGTTATTTTACTCAAAAAAATATATAGAATCAACGTAAAATTCCAATTCCTATCAAGACTGCAATGGCATTCTTCAAAGAAATAGAACAAACATTACTGAAATTCATATGGAACTGCAAAAGACCCTGAATAGTCAAACCAATCCAGACAAAAAAGAAGAATAAGGGTGGTATCATACTTCCAGGCTTTGGACTATACTACAAAGCTATAGTAAGCAAAATAGTATGGTACTGCACAGAGCAATAGAATAGAACTGAGAGCCCGAAAATAAACCTGGACATCTATGGACAGTTCATCTACAAAAAAGGAGCCAAAGAAACTGTCAGTAAAACAAAAAGACAACCAACTGATTGGAGGAAAATATTTAGACATCATGCATGTAACAAATGACTGATATCCAAGGTACAAAAAGAACTCATACAATTCAACAAAAAGAAAAAAAAAAACAGTCAAAAAATGGGCAGAAGGGGGCCTTCCTGGTGGCACAGGGGGTAAAGTCTCAGTGCTATGAAGCTATCACCAGCCACTGTGTCATCATTTTGATCCCCAGCCAGAGAGCTAACCCACATATGGAGCAACAGACCTCTCCTGTCTCACCTGCTGTTCCTCTTAGCAGTGTATTGTAGTAGATCTGGCTATTCCGCTCCCCTCTGTGTCTCTGGTGAATCTTCTCACCCCCACACCATTGGCCTACACCCCAGTTCTTGAATGCATAAATAAATAAAAATAAATCTTTAAAAATAATGGCAGAAGAGCTAAGTAGACACTTCTCCAAAGACATACAGATGGCCACAGAATCATGAAAAAATGCTCACCATGGCTTATCATCAGGGAACTGCAAATCAAAACCACAAAGAAATAGCATCTTACACCTGTGAGAAAGACCATCCACATTGTTGCAAATGGCAAGCTTTCATCAGTTCTTTATAACATAGTAGTATGCCATTGTGTATATATTTATCCAATCCTCCTGTTGCTGGGAACTTAGGTAATTCCATACGTTAACTATTGAAAACACAGCTGCAATGAGCATGGGACTATATCTATCCCTTGAGTTGGTGTTTTTGTTTTCCTTGGATAGGTACATAGAAGTAGCATTGCTGGATCATATGAAACATCTATTTTTAATATTTTGAGAAATCTCCTTGATCTTTTCCATTGGGCCTGGGTTAGTCTACATTCCCACAGAGTATACAAGTGTTCCTTTTTCTCCACACCTTCACCAACATTTGTTGTTTCTGATCTTTTTGATATGGTGTGAGATGGTATCTCATGGTGGTTTTAATTTGCATTTCTCTGATGATAAGTGATGGGGAGTCTTTTTTCATGTCCATGTTGGCCAATTGTATATCTTCTTTAAAGAAGTGTCTAGTTAACTCTTTTGCCAATTTTCTGATTGGGTTATTTGTTTCCTTTTTTGTTGAATTGTGTGAGTTCTTTGTAGATCTTGGATATTAGTCCCTTGTCAGTATATGATGTGCAAATATTTTCTGCCACTCAGTGGTAAGGTTGTAGGCATATATAAATGTGTTTCTATTATATGTGTTATTTGGGTTATTAATATTTACAGAAAGTAAAGGGGCTTTTATCCATTTGTGTGACCATTTATTCACTCATACATTCATTAAAAAGCCATTAAACACCTATTTATGGCAACTACTATATTAAAAATTAGATTCCATAAGAGATTCCATCTGAGCTCAGTCAAGTATGCTGAGGGCATAATAAGCTGATAAGCTAGTATCCTGGAACACGTCATCCATCTCAGATGCACCAGTACCTCAAGCTCAGTTCAACCTAGAGCCTGGACGTCCCCACAGACAAACTGATCATCAGCATGACATAGAGCTACATAAAGAGACAAGGATGGATGGGTTGACACTTAAGTGCTAAATCTGCCTGAGTGCCTTTCAATGTCATTTTGCCTAATTTTGACAGTAAGTAGACAAGTACCTTAACCATAGCTTAGAAAGGACATGGCACAGAGCTCATACCCTTAGGTATTAGGGTCTAGGTCATCCCACCAAAGGAAGTGAAGGTATACATTTGGTTCATGGGTAATTATCAATACTTGGGCACATGGGACTGCAATTGCACTATAGCTCCATTTCTTCTTCTGAAACCTGTTTCTTCCCTCTCCCATAGGCCTCCAGTCTAAGAATGTTCCTTTGTAAACTTCTTGTATGCTGATTTCCATTTCAGAGTCTACCCCCTGAGAAATCCAAACTACAACAGTATTCAATGGAAAACAAATTACCCTCATAGACCTATAGTGCAGAAGTAGATAAATTGAATTGTACATGTGTGTTAATACAATATTAGAATGAAGACATTTTATTTTTAGTTTCAAAATACCTCTCCCTTCACTATTTGAACAAATTTAAAAGAGAGGCGATATCTTTTTAAAAGAAATTTGGACAGAAAAATAAGTAATATTTAGGATATTGTGGAAATATAAAAGAAATAATATCTAGGATGATTTTGCAGAGTTAACAGAAAGACGAGTCTGCTATCCTTAGGCCTGGTTGCAAGTTTGACCCTTTGCTGATATCTAGGGACTTTGGGGTAAATAGTTCCCTACAATGATACAAAACTTTCCTTAGATGAAAAAAATAGCTCTCTGTGCCTAAACTGTACTAACAATATAGTTTATGCTAAACATCTGTTTTCCTTAAAGGGAGTCTGGACTTTTGGTATGCGCCATACAAAGGGTACCTAAATGACCAGCCCCAAGCCTCGTTGCTGGAAGAATTAAGTGTGTTCTATGTGGTTCCACAGGGAGAGGACTTTTAGAAGTTTATACCTACTGTCCCCTAGACTTTGTCATACACTTTTTTTCTGATTTTGCTTTGTATCCTTTCATTGCAATAGTCCTTAGTCATGTGGACAAATAGATACTGAATTCCATGAGTCAGTCTAGCAAACCACTGAACATAATAGTAGTTTGGGTCCCCAAACACAGAGGAATAATAGCTATGAAAGGGAAGTCCTTTTCTCAAATTAAATGTTTTAACTATTTAATATTTACATTGACGAAAATATACACAGATAATGAATTATAAAGTATTTGTGATTATCCAAGGAATAATATACTTTATCTCTCTAGCCAAATCTAGATATTGGACAATTATTGCTATCCTTGAATCTCCACCAAGGAAATTTGCTATGTTGCAGAAACCTTGAGTGCCTACATTTGAAAAACATTCTGTTTGATAGCAGTGGTTAGACCCGGATTTACTTTTTTTTATATTGTTAAATTATATATGAATACATTCCCCTACATGGACAAGGTTTTATAAGACAAGATGTGATAAGTCTTCATATAGGAAAAAATATATATATTAATATATATGACCTCCTAATCCCATAAAATATGTCTATTTTCTTTAGTCATCCTGAATTGTTTATGTTTACATAGGAAAACATAATCCATAGTGCACTGTCATCAACATTTATTTCTGTTAACATACTTCCTCACCAAAAAGACTGACAATTGTATTTATGCTGTATATACTGTTGTTAATGGTGTAGTTTTAAACTCCCATGGGTACAGTATTATTTTAGCTTTAAAAATAAGATCATAATCATGTCTGAGGATGAAAAATATCTCTCAGATCTACAAAAATGTATATAAATAATGAACAGAGAACACAAACTTCTTTAAGTTCTCTTGCCATCTGTTATTTTATGTTGCTACTATAATATCTAGAAGTTCATCTTCCCAAATATAATAGACACCTGTTTTGTCAGTGCCATTCACATGCAAATATAATTAATTAGAAAGGAAAGAGAGTTAGACATACGTTTTCACTAGATTTTCTTTCATTCTAGGCAGTTGATCCATCTGTTGCCTTTTAGAAACTTGGTGTGAGCCAAAGATCTAAAATACAAACATTTGGGTATTTTATTATCTTATTTCATGATTGATTTCAGATATAAGAGGAACAATCCATATACAATTAACTCATACCCAGATCTTTTAGATGTATAAGAGAAGCCAAAGAAAGATGAGAAATTCTGGGTCTCTCCAATATTATCAGGTTTCTAACCATTCTGGAAACTCCTCTATCTCAATGCCACAATCCTTGCAATTTTTAAAATATAGAGAAAAATATGAAAATGCTATTATTCATGTAGTAGGGATCACTAAATTTTTTTTAATAGCTACCAAACATAAATACACACATGCTGCCATTAAGGTGGATAAAAAAACAGGAGCTGTAGGTTTATTGGACAAAAATTAAAATACAAGATCATATCTTCATTTTTGTCTATTTTGAAAGTGATTTTTTTGTGGGTACTATAAATATAGTCTGCAATTGTGGAGTAAGTGAAGCTGATGACCTTAGAGATGGCAACTGAAACCATGAGTAAATGAGATCATTTGTTAAGAGCAAACAGAGAAATAAGAAAGTTGATATAATAAATAAAGGAAAACAACTTTAAAGGGACAGGAGAATCACTAAAAATAGGACTATCATTTAAACAAAAGAAGAACCTAGTTAAAAATATGTCATAGAAATCCAGCAGGGGTGATACTTAAAAAGAAAGCAGAGTTAGCAATGTGAATTGTCCCCAAGCTGTGTACTACTACATGAAGAAGAGTCATTGTATTTGGCTAGAGTGAGATAAATTGTGTCATAGCCACTGGTGGGATCCAAAGGGAATTAAAAGAGGTTGAAGAGTAAACAGCAAAGATAGTAAATGTATCTTCTCTTTCATAAAGTTTGGCTGAGCAAAGGAATGTTAAAATAATAGTTCTTTTAGTACAACCAGAGCAAAGTAAGTTTGTTTTATTTTGATAAAAGAGATGGCCATGTTGCAAACAAAGGGTAAGTCACAGACAATGGAAAAGAGATTAAAAATATAAAAGAAAAGAATTATTAAGTAATAATAAGTTAATAAGTAACACTAATTAGATAGACTTGGGAAGAAGTTTGGGAAAATTTTTCTTTAGGACAGGATGAGAAACAGCAATGGTAGGTAAAGATGTTAATGTATTTGAAGATGAAAAGGAAGAAATTTCACACCAGATAAACTCCTCTTTGTGATGTAAGAACATTTGCTAAGAGGGACAACTTTGGACACCTCAGTCCAGAAAACAGAATTTACTCATTTATTCACTCAGCAAATGTTTTTGATCATCTACTATGTGCCACTACTGAATTAAGCACCAGGATAGAAAGCCAAGTCACAGTTATCACAATCTTTTGGGGAAATAGTGAAAGAAAGAGATTGTACAGTTCAGTGCCTTTTAGAGAGGCTGCTTTGTAAGCACACATCAGATGTTGAGACACAGGGCAAGCTAGAAATTAGGCAGTTTTAGGGACAGTGCAGGAGGGGACCTCTGAAGAATTTAGGGAGGCTTCAGAAATAAGGACAACCAAGGGAAAGTAACCCATTCCACTAGGAAAAACAAACATCCCAGGACCAAGGACAACATTGTTAATGCTAGTACTGGTTTCCTTCAGGTGGTAAAGGGAGGCGGAGATTGGCGAAATGGAGAGTGGTTTAATTTATGGACACATTAGAAGGGCAGCTGTTTAACTTCAATGCAGGAATGCCCATCCAGAAGACTGGGCCATAAATTTAAAAATGCAACAAATGGGGAAAGAGAAAGCTGTTAGATAAGGAATGTGAAGATCCTCCACTCAGTAGCAAATTGAGACAGCCGAGAACTAACCAATCACAAAGAGACTGGTGGAGCTTTAGAATAATGAGGGAAAAAAGGTATATATTCCCTGAGACACGACTCCACTTTGGCTTCCTTGCCCCTCCCAGGCCTGGTTCCCTGCCCTGGGAGTCCCACTTTATTTCTGCTCTTTTTCTCCTCAATAAACTTTTTCTTTCTATAAACAAATCTGCCTCTTCTTGCTTGCTTGCCTGAGCGTCTGCGAAGTTCCTGCTGCGGCTTCGTGAGACACCAACCCGTGGGGGTCTAGTGGCTGGGGCTCAGCGCTGTCCTGCAGCCTGGGATCCGTTCCTGGCTGGGAGACTAGGCCTGACAATTCCGGTATCAATGTGGCTATTTCAGGCTACAGGGGGATCTACATGGAAGAGGAGCCAATTAAGAACTAGGGGAAGGGGGCCTCCCTGGTGGTGCAGTGGTTGAGTGCTGGGTTGCATAGCTGCCCACATCCCCGGCCCCTGGGCGAGGGTCCCACATGGCGTGCAGACCTCTCCAGCCGCCCGCTGCTCCCCTCAGCAGTGTACTTTGTCAGTCTGCCTGTTCTGTTCCCCGCTCTGGCTCTGGTGAATTCTCTCACCCACCCTCACGTCTGACTGTACCCAGTGCTTGTATAAATAAATAAATAAATCTTAAAAAAAAAAAAAATCCTAGGGGAAGGACATTCTAGGCAGAACAACCAGCAAGGACCTAAAGGCATAAAGTAGCTTGACAGCAGCAGAAATCAAACATCCTTGGTGTGCCTGCATGGCAGGGTATGAATAAGGACAAGCTGAAGCAGCAGGAACTGCAAGTAGAAGAGGATCCTTAAATATCAGGAAATTTTGCTGAGCTCCTTTGGACAATGTGGTCATTGGAGGTATACAGGAGAACACCACCATAATGTCTGAATTTCAGAATTATCCCAAGGATAGCAGAGAAGGAAAATAAGTGTGGTCAAACCAGTGAGGAGCAGAAGTACAAATAGCAGACTCAGTCAATAGCTCTAGTTATCTATCAAAGAATCAGTTATGTATATATTCAGTATGGAAAGAATTGCAAATCGTTCATTGACTTTCCAGTCACTATAGTGTCTACCTGGTCTGAGCCATTTTTGACTTACATAAACAATTTACTCTAGACTGAAAGTTATTAATACATACTGAGGAATAGGATTAACATCATTCTGGGACACTGTTAAAATAGCCTTTAATAGTATGTTCAGTGATCTGATATAATCAGAATAGGAACGATTCCACTTAATGAATTTTTCAGATAAACAAAGGTAAAGCAAGTAGAAATTCTGATGTTCCTGTCAGAGAGAGAAGTGCAAGGGAGGTCAGTAAAGCAAAATGGGAAAATTATATTCACCATTTACCGGAATTAGAAACTAATATGTGCCAGGAATTTCACTCAGCACTTTCCATACATTATCTTTAAATACTTACAACCTCTTGCAAGATACTATTATCTCTCTTTTACAGAATAGGAGAGAAATCAAGACTCAGAAAGGTCACATAACAATAAGTGTGGAGCTGGGATTCAAATTCAAATTGGCAAATTTGGAAAAACCAAAGTCTGGTCTTTATCATCTCATGTCCTCATAAAAGAGCATTTGTGCTCAGCCTGAAAGGAAACAGAGTTGGCATGTGGTAGTGTATTCCAGGTAGAGTGCATAGTCAGAGGAAGGTATGACCGCACCTGCAATGATTCCAGCCAGGAATCCAGGATCATGAGTTTTAATCGATTGTCTATTTTTAGGGGTAAGAGATTCTAAGATCTGGTACCATTTGTCTCAATTTCCTAGTCAACATGAGAAGTCCAAGCTTCCTTTTACCCACTATTGCCTTGACTTTCATTGCTAAAGTATTTTATATGTCCCCTTACCCACTTCAATCCCTGAATCTAACACTCTTGATTTTCTGGACATTGTAGACCAGAGATGAGCTGGTTACCTATAGCCAAACCCAGCCCTGAAGGTCCTCTCCTTACTTGCCTCACCCAGCTATGCTCTGAGGACTCAAATCCTCTTTTTGGTCCTTTTTAATTACTACTGAGACTTGTATCCCAGGCTCTCTTTTTCTTTACATTTTGTGTATTCTCCCTGATGCATTTCATTCACTCACACAGCTTCATTTACAATCTATATGTGTATAACTTCTATATATATGTATCTATAAAAGTCATCATTTTTTCATCTCAGATTCATATATCCAACTGCTCTTTGTACCTTTCCATTTGACTAATGCACACTGAAAAGTGAGATTATACCCTAATCTTAAAACTGATACCAATATTAGGTAAACAAGTATTAAATATTTAAATGTCAAATATTAAGTCATAAAAAGCACCAAAAATGATAACCAATGTTAAAAAACATTGAGATGAAACTGGTCTTTTTCAACATTGATTTTGAAAGCCATAAATAAAAGATACCTCTGACAACACCAAAACAAAAACTCTGTAATACAAACAGCATCATAAATAAAATTGAAGGGCAAATGAAAAACTGCAGAAATACATGTAACATCTTTCATGGCTTGCTGATCACTTTCCTGTCTTGTCATTTTTAAGTACACACTTTAGTAATAGCAACTTAATCTCTCCTAGACCTCACATGCTTAATCATGAAGTGAAGTGCCTTGAATGATACAGTAACAAAATAATAACAGCTTATTTGCTTGAATTCTAGTGATTACAGATCAAACTAAAAGAATAACTAAAGAAGCAGATATTCTCTTACTTGGGAAATTTTTATCTTTTTTTAACCTTTTAATAAAATTTCTGCATTTTCTTGGTCACCACCCAAATTTAGAAAGTTTCCAACTTTCCAATATCTGTTATTCTACCAAATCAAACCAAATAAAAACTCAGAAAAGTGAAAAACATAATTTATAGGAAGGGGAAACTTCGAATTTAGAAGTAAAAATATAAAAAGTTGGGCCTCCTAGTGGCAGAAGGGGTTAAGATGCAATCTAGGAAGCTGTCCGCAGCCACTGCAGCATGAGTTCCATCCCCGGCCAGCCAGGAAGATACCCACATGCCGCAGCAGGCTTCTCCTGACTCGCCCACTGCTCCCCTCAGAGGTGTATTTTGGTCAGTCTGCCTGTTCTGATCCCCACTCTGTCTTTGGTGAATCCTCTCACCCCCTACACCTCTGGCCTATACCCCAGTTCTTGTGCGCATAAATAAATAAAATTAAAAAAAAAAAAAGTTACCTGAGATATCTCAGCTAGGCATGCACAGAGCTCATTGTTGGTTTTCTGGTAAGCCTACAGGAGAGACACAGAAGTAATGAGTCCACCATCACAGAAAGATTGGCAGGACTAGAAAGACTGTTGTTAAGTTTGTGTCTACTCTGTTTTCTTTAAAAAAAAAAAAGTGTAGGAAATAACTTGATAAGTATTTTGAGATAATTATTTAGGAGGTCTGTAGATAATACACTAAAATTCATGGTAGCTTCAAATGAATTTCCTAGGATAGAATAAGTGCATACCTTTATCTCTTGTTCCAGTGTCTCAGCATACAGATTTTCACTTGATTTTCAAGACTCCTTTTTTTTTCTTTCCAGCTGTTTAAGTAATGTAGTTAAGGATTCCTGAAAGTATAAATAGCAATTTTCTTCATGTACTAATGTTTTAAACAATAGTAAAAAATGATCATCAATTTCTTCATTGGTGAATGCCTTCTACAACATAAAATTGTGACCTTGTAATTCTATAATATGTATATTTAAGTAATAGTAAGAATAATTATAATATTTATTGAACCCTGATAACATGCCATGTACTATGCTAAGTGCTCTCCAAAGATTATTTTATCCAATCCTTATTACAGTCCTTGAAGTGGCTAATATATTTCCATTTTACTGTTGAAAATATTGCATTTGATGGAGGATAATTAACTGCCCGAAAACACATAGCTAATGAGTGGTAGAACTAGAATTAGAACCCAGGTAATCCAACTTCAAATATCACTCATGCTAAAAAATTATCCTCTATGTATCCATGCCATTATCATCAATGTAACAGGAATATAAGCACTGGGCACTATTGGAAATTATTTAAAAAGTGATATGATGAAAGCAGGTGTTTAAGAATATTGATCAAAGTGGAATAGCTATACAGTCGTGTGTTTAAGGCTAAAATATTTTTAATACACTTTTATTGTGACAAAGTTATATCTTGCTGCTATTTCCATATTGACTAGATTATATGTCACGGCGTCATTTCACAGCTAATTCATTTATTCAAAAAATATTCATCAAACACCTCATATGTGCCAGACACTGGGCCAAGGAAGCCATACAGTGAGAATTACAAGCCCACCAAAATGAAACACTTAGGTGTAAATCTAACAAAATATGTACAAGATTATGTGAGAAAACTACAAAACTCTGATGAACAAAATCATAGAGCAAGATAAATAGAGAGATAGTTCCATGTTCATGGAGAGGAAGATTATATTATTAAGATGTCAGTTCTTCCAAATTTGATCTATAGATTTAATTCAATCCCAATCAAAACTCCAGCAAGTTATTTTATAAGTATTGACAACTGATTCTCAAAGATTCAAAACAGACACCATAAGATTGAAGAAAAAAACGAAAGTGGAGAACTGACACTATATAGCTTCAAGGTATACTACAAAGCTACAGCAGTCAAGTGTTTAAAAAAAAAAAAAAAGGCAAAAAGCTTATTGGAACTGAATAGAGAGCCCAAAATTAGGTCCCAGAACAAATGGTCTTTTGTCAACTGATTTGACAAGGCAAATACTATGGCAATACTGTGTACAGATACTAAGGCAATATATGTGGTAAAAATACTCTTTAACAAATGGTGCCAGAGGATCAGACATCCACATACAAAAATACATAAATAAGGAAAGGAAGGAAGGAAGGAAGGAAGGAAGGAAGGAAGGAAGGAAGGAAGAAGGAAGGAAGGAAGGAAGGAAGGAAGGAAGGAAGGAAGGAAGGAAGGAAGGAAGGAAGGGAAGGAAGGAGGGAAGACACATACTTTACATCCTTCACAAAATTATTCAAAATGGTTTACAGACCAAAGTATAAAACACAAATCTATAAATCTTTAGAAGATAACATAAGAGAAAACATAATGTTCTTGTGTATAGTGATGCCTTTTAACACAGAAGACACTATCCATAAAAGAAAGAATTGATAAGCCATTCTTCAATACAGTGAAAAACTTCTGGTCTGTGAAGGACTAGGCGAAGAGAATCAGAATGACTCACCAAATGAGAGAAAATATTTGTAAAATACACAAATTAAAGACTATTATCCAAAATATACAAAGAACTCTTAAAATTCAATAATTACAAGTACCGGATTAAAAAATGGTCCAAAGACCTTAAAAATACCTCACCAAAGGAGATGTTCAGATGGAAAATAAGCATGGGAAAAGATGCTTCGCACATTATTACATCAGAAAAATGCAAGTTAAAACAATGAGGTATCCCTAGAATGGCCCAAATCTGGAACACAGGTGACACTAAATGCTGGTAAGGATGTGGAGCAATCCATCCTTGCACAGGAACTCTCACTCATTGCTGATGGGATGCAAAACGGTAGAGCCCTTTGGAAGAGTCTGGTGCTTTCTTACGAAACTAAATATACTCTTGCCATATAATTCAGCAATTGTACATCTTGTTATTTACCCAAAGGAGTATGTATGGCCTCATAAGATCTGCATACTGATGTTGACAGCAGTGTTATTGATTAAATGCCAAAACTTGAAACCAACCTAGATGTCCCTCACTAGATAAATGGATAAACTGGTAATCCAGACAATGAAATTTGTTTGATGCAAAAATGAAATGTGTATTTTGTTAAGTGAAAGAATTCAATCTGTAAAAACTATATAGTGTTTGATTCCATCTATTTAGCAGTCTGGAAAAGCTATAGAGATAGCAAAAAGATCAGCTGTTGCCAGGGATGGGAGAGTAGGAAAGAATGAATAGACAGAACACAAAGGATTTTATGGCAGTGAAAATACATTATAATGATGAATTTATGTCATTATGTATTTATCCAAATCCATGGAATATACAACACCAAGATTAAACCTTAAAGTAAACTGTGGGTGATTAATGATGGGTCAATGTAAGTTAATTCTGGTAAATGATGTTGCTAATGAAGGAAGCTATACACCAGTAGGATAGGAGGTATATGGGAAATCTCTGTATCTTCCTCTCAATTTTTTTGCGAACCTAAAAGTGCTCTAAACACATAAAGACTTTATTTATTAATTAATGTTAAAAATTGTCCCAGGGAGACTACATCAAATTAAAGAGCTTCTGCAGAAGAGCTAAAAAGAAACTTCTCTGAAGAGGAAATGCGAATGGCCAACAGGCATATGAAAAAATGTTCAACATCACTTGTCATCAGGGAAATGCAAATCAAAACTACCATGAGATACCATCTCACACCAGTGAGAATGGCACATATTAAAAAAACTAGCAACAACAAGTATTGGCGAGGTTGTGGAGAAAAAGGAACTCTTCTGCACTGTTGGTGGGAGTGCAGACTGGTCCAACCACTATGGAGAGCTGTGTGGAGATTTCTGGACCTACTAAACATAGAGCTTCCATATGATCCAGCAATTCCACTCCTAGGTATTTACCCAAAGGACACAGAAACATCAATTCCAAAGAACACCTGCACCCCTATGTTTATAGCAGCACTATTTACAATAGCTAAGCTTTGGAAACAGCCCAAATGCCCAAAAATAGATGACTGGATCAAGAAGATGTGGTACATATATACCATGGAATATTACTCGGCATTCAAAAAAGATAAACACATGCAATTTGCAGCAACATGGATGGCGCTGGAAGGGATCATGCTCAGTGAAATAAGCCAAAAAGAAAAAGAAAAATACCGGATGGTCTCACTCATAGCAGGAATCTAGAAAACTTAAATAAGGAACCAGGAAAATGAATAACTATAAGAAAGTGAAAATCAAAATCAACAAACAACTATGAACCAGAGACACTTTTTGGGGGTGGGGGGGCGGGAGGGGAGGGATTGGGGTCAGAATGGGGGGGGTTGCAATTGTATGGGGAATATAAAAATAAAATTTATTATTAAAAAAAAATTGTCCCAGGGAGAAAACAAGAACACATTTTGCATTTTGTGAAAACTTCATTAGTATGACATACTGTGATCCATTTAAAGCAAGATATTTGTGATTATTTATAAAATCATTATTCTCATCAGAATTCTTTAAAACTGTTAATATTAAATATATCTCTACAATAATTTTAAAGTTCATTCTAGATTTGACTATTTTACTGACTCCAAAATGACTAAACATTTTTAAATGATTTTACGAGAGGGCATATAACTCTCTCATCCCATCACTTCCAGTTCATGGGAAGATTCATAATATGTTCTTGATTCAATAATGTTCTTGATCTCCCCAGCAGCTGTTTTTATCTGATTATACAATTAGAAGTCACAGACTAGAAACCCATAGGCTGGAAACATATACTAAAGTATAATTAAATGGAAAATGAAATTAACCAAAGATAATCACACACACAAAATTAATTCTTCTCTCATATAAGAGCTATTGTATCTTTTGACACTGATTAGTTCTTAACATTCCTGGTAGTGTCATATTTCACCTATGTTCTTGCTTTAATTTGCTTGTAAAGGGTGACTTCACAACAGTAAGTTGAACCAATAAAGTAAAAATAAGAAATTTCAGTACACGATTTACATACCTGAAATCAGATATACTTAGGTTTAAAAAAACAGTCCTTTTTCTCTATCACAAATAGCAAAGGAAGCTCTCTTGGCCACCTATTTTTTGAAATAATGGTAATTGCTATACCGAAGAACACATTAAAAACTACAAGTAAAAAAAGTCACTCTCCTGAATGTTTACAAAAGAAAAACATGAGAATACAGTTAGTTAAATATAGCGACTTGATATGCAATACTTTTCAACGGTAGCCATTGAAGGAACACAGCATCCTGCATGATAAAGTACCAAGTGCCCCCTTGTGGACAACACTGTTAGTAGCGTTATATAAGATCTGTTTGATTGAGGCTGCAACTCTCGCCAAATTGACCATTCTGATCTTAGAGGGGAATACAAACTTGGTCATGTCTGTGTCTGAATACCTCAGGAAGCAGTTCATAGACTCTAAAGATCTACCGCCAATCAGATAGCTGAGGGAATTCCATTTCTTCCTTTGTTTCTATTGCACTCGAGAATCCAACATGCCTTCATTAATGTTTTCATTATGTCATTTTAGTCACAAATATATTTATGGATCTCAATAGTGTTCGGGGGTTATTAGTATTAATGCCTGATTATCTAGTTCTAATATATATACTCATGACTTATGAAACAAAATTTCTAAGAATGTTCTGACGGTGACAATGACCAGAGTGAGCCCAGTGGAACCATGACAGATTGGATGCTGCATTAAGGTCACCACTCTCAGGAAGGTCCAAGTGGGCTGGGTGCTTGTGCAGGACCCCAGGAAGCAGCATAATTACAAGAAGAATCTGAATCACAACAAAGGAGGGAAATTATCACACTCAGAGAAATAGCATGAGATATCAGGATGAAC